GCCACCACCACGTGACGTGGTGCAAAGCCGCAGAGGTGGTGGCAGGCGAGGTTCGCTCCCGACCGCTGTCACCCACTGCCCACGTGACCGCGCAAACGTCTTGGGAGAGTAATCCGACCACTCCTAAGAGGCAAGACGAAACGCATCAGACACCCCCGTGTTTACACCACTGATGTTTTAGCGCTGGTTCGGTATTTTTTTTTCCTGGCCTGAATTTAGGCATTTTCGGCGTAAGGCACTACCACTACAGTTCAAGACAAGCCTATCCGTACGAATCATCCAGTATTGTGACCTATATTCGTATGACCGTATGAATATGTAAAACAATACGAATGTAGATGTGCCGGAGGATAATAGGGGGTGAGATGGATGTGGCGCGCCAAAAACAATTACCTGGGGCAACGTTCCAATTGAAATTGAGCCACCGCTAATTTAACAATCGCGAAACAATAAACACGTAACTCACAAAACCAAGACGCCAGCTCCCAGAAATGTAGGGTGTCTCTCTCTCTCTCTCCCCTCTGGCACCTCTGCAGTAGGGCGGAACGATTTGGGGGAAATATATAATTGCGATTTTTCTGACAGATATTGCGACGGAAATGTTTTAAGTCAAGCTTCAGTTCAATATTCACTGTGTAATAGATTTAAAACATGTGATGGACCGTTACGTGATACCATCAAAATATGAACTGCTCTATAAATTATAATGCAAGTATGAGAACTTTAAAAATTATGAATTGCTTCCAACATGTATTTATTAAAATGTTTAAATTGAAATAGAACAATTAAACATAGAACAATTGTTAAGTTCAAATAATACATTAATAATAAAAAAGAAAAAAATTCCAACAATTCCAAATCGCTAAAAAAATCGCATTGTTTCAAATTGCGATTTCTATTTGAAATTAATCGTTCAGCCCCACTCTACAGCTCCCGCTACGGGATACAAATAACACCTCTGACTGCTGCTGCTGCTGTTGTTGTTATTGTTGTTATTGTTGTTGTTGTTATTGTCTCGCGCCATCCGCGCGAGCGTGGTTCGCAAACCCACGCCACTCCTCCTCCTCCCTCCTCTTCCTCCTCCTCCTCCTCACAGAGACACGAGACGCGCCACACGCCACGCGGACGCCTTAGCGCCGCCTGCTGCTGCTGATGATGATGAGACGAGAGCGGGTGTGGAGGGGGGGGGGGGTGAACGAGGGTTGGGTGTGTGGAGCGGGGGGCGGGGAGGGTGTTTGAAGGTGCCCCCTCTCAATCCCCCCCCAACACAATCACTCGCCCCCCCCCCATCCCTCGGCGGGCGTCAGGTGCAGAGGCTGATTCGAGCCACGGGGTATCTCGTGTTCACACTTTCAGCCTCCAGACCCCACCGCAGCCAGCACCCCCCCCCCGACCCCCCCCCGACCCCCCCCCGACCCCCCCCCGACCCCCCCCCCCCCGAGACAACAACATCCGCAGCTCGCTACTAAGTGGCGGTGACGTCACCACGGCGCTTTGTTTAGTCCAGGCCAGGTGCGCCATAAGGCCACGTGGCGTGTCCAAGTGCTCGCTGGACGCGGTGTCACGCTGCTGAACCCAGGTGCCATGGGGTCGACTGACTGAAGATGACTGGCCGATAAACCGCCTGTGGCCGACGCTCCGCTCGTTGTTGTGAGCGTCGCTCCTCTGCCCTACTAAGTTTGCCGGATCGGCGACTGCCTCCAACTGGCCAGTTGCGTCCTTCAAGAACCTCCCTCAACGAGAGGCCGATCTTGACACCGCTGGTACCGGTCATCGGCAAGTCCACTCAGCTCCACATCCTCCTGTACCGCATCGGCTCCATCGCTTCTCTAGCCCGTGCCGCGCCCGTTTAGCCTCCTCCCCCCCCCTTCTTTTCCGGCCAAACAGAAGCTGCTCGGGCACGCGCACACAAAATCAAATTACGTGGCGCTGCACGTAACTGAGGCGAGGGGATGACGCGGGTAACACAGCGCGAAGCCTTCAGCGTAACCACCACTCCCATAACCTGCGAGCAACTGCTGCTGCGTAATGACGCGATAATGACGTGAATATGACGTCATAATGACGCGATTATGACGCGATAATGACGCGATAAGGGATTTTCAAACGTCTCGTTCTTGTTCGACAAAAGGAACGCGGCATTGTGGCGTGGCGTTTCCTTTCCAATTAAGGGTGAATAACGAGGCGCTCCACAGCCTCCCCAGAGCGACGCGGGGGTAGAGGAGGAGGTGGAGATGGGGGGGGGTATGGGGGGGGGCAGAGAGCATCTATCAGTTGGGTTAATGACGCCGGCAGCGCAGCAGACACGGGCTCCGTCACGCGGCCACCGTCATCGTCGCGCTAATCTTGTAAGTGTTTGTGATGGAAACTGCATCGTCGTCGTCGTCAGCATCATTATCGCTCTCGTCTTCAGCGTGATACAGATGACACCGAGGTCATCCTCGTCATCATGATCATGTCGAACCCTTGACTTTCATCGATATTGACCATGTGTACTGACCACTATCATCATCATCATCACGTGATCACCATCTCTTACGTTTTTCGTTACTTAGAATGACCTCATGATTAGAAGAACAATATGAATGATCAAATTCCATGTCAACCGCTCATATGAGTGGTTGAATTCGTACCATCTTCACCACCACCATCATCATCATCGATCGAGCGCAGGCCTGGAAATGGTTCAGATTATCACTCACCATTCATGTTTCCCGCGGCCTAAAATCGAACTCAGTTGGCAAGGACAGTTGCGCATCACGCTAACCACTGCACCACCGCTCGAATACAAAGACAAGATCCCCCATATAGCCTTAACATGCTGTTGAGGCAAGTGCTGTTAGCGATCAACTATGAAGGCCAGCACAGCACACGAGGGAGTGGGTGGTCAACACCACGCCCGACCGCCTTTGTCTCCCCAGTGGCAATGTTTACACATCGCCACCAGGTACTCATTTGAGGCTGAGTCGACCTAGGGGAGGCCCAGGACTGGTTCAGATATTCGTCAACGATGTTGGCCGTGAGCGGGAATCGAACCCGGGTCGCCGGGTTCGTAGCGCAGCGTAGCGCTAACCGCTACACCACCGAATACACGCACACACACACGTGCACACACGCGCACACACACACGCACGAGCACACACACACGCGCACACACACACACATACACACGCGCACACACACACACGCGCACACACACGGGCACACGCGCACACACACACGCGCACACACGCACACTCACACGCGGCTGTTACACGCGCGAAGATGAACATCGATGCGAGGCAGGGACACTCGGGGTCCTCTTGCCCCCTCGTTGTCTCGCGGAGTTGACAGCCGGCGCGAGTTTAACTTCCAAGTCAGCTCGCCCGCTCGTCCCCCTCGAATGGGGACATCCACCTCCAGCGAAGCCCCAACGACGGCGTGAACCGCGTGCGCGCAGCCATTGCTAGACGATCGGTCGGAAGTCATGGGATGCGTGTGTGTGTGTTTTATGGGCGAGCGGTGGTGTAGCGGTGAGCGCGCTGCGCTACGGACCTGGCGACCCAGAGTTCGATTGCCGCTGACGGCCAACACCGGTGATGATGTTTATACATCGCAATCATCGCCACTGGGGAGACAAAGGCGGCCGGGCGTGGTGTTTCCACCCACCTCCCTCGCGTGCCATGCCGGCCTTCATAGGTGCTCACTAACAGCACTTTCCCCTACAGTCTGTGTTTATATAAAAAAACATACCAAATAAAATAGAATCTACTCACTACCCCAACGAATTACTGACTGTTTTTCGCGACCAATATCATCAATAATAGAGATTTTTGGGGAAGATCGCGTAAATATATAAATGTGTGGAATTACTGACATCTCGATGTAGTGAGCGATTGGCCGACTCATTAATGCATTACTTGACTGATGAACTGACTGATTGACGAAGTCACGAGCGAAATAATTGATGGATTGGCCAATTGATTGATTGACCAATTGATTGCCTGCGCGGCCGTCACTTGAGCATCCCATTCGAGACGCGGCGCTTGACCCAAGGCGCCTCCGCGTCGAAGCGCGCGGTTGCGCGTGCCTTTGCTCCTCTTCCCCCCTCGCTCCTACACCCCCTTCCCCGCCACAATTCGTCTCCTCTTCGTCCTCCTCCTCGTTCCCCTACCGCCCCCAGCGCGGTTTAATGTCGTAGTTGCAGCGCGTTGGCCGAACGCGCGTGAGCCGCGGAGACACCCGGAAACGTTGTGAACGGAACGGCAGCAAACTGTCGACGTAGTTGACGTAGACGTCGTCGCTCGTCGCCATCGCGTGCACGACGACGTTTGTGCTGGTGGTGGCGCGCGACGCATCCATACGCTGGTGGCGCGCGAGCCGTCGACCGGAGACGGTGCCGACCCGCGGGTTTCTCCTCGCCCCGCGCACGAACTTTCTCTGGCGCCGTTCTGCTGTCGTGGCGGGGTGTAGGGGGAGGGGGGGGCAGTGCCGGATTATCCCAGTAGCAAAAGTAGCTACATATGTAGCTACTCAAGTGACTACTACATATGTAGTAGCTACGGGCCAAGCAACTTTCAAGGGCCCCGCGTTAGACGCTTTCAAGCTATCAAATCCGGTTCAGTGATTCTGCACTTGCTCTATTACTATAGTACTATACCGCCTGCAACCTTTATGAACGACTGGGTGTTTAATGTCAGCGATTTGTCGTATCATCTGGCTGTATAGCAAATGAAAAAATACAATTACTTTACTATGCAAGTTAAACATTTGTGTTTTAATATTCATGTTTATTTTATTTTTATTGTATTTTATTTAGGGCCCCTTGATAACATATGCTACAGGCCCCGCACGAGCTTAATCCGGCACTGGGGGTGGTGGGGGGGGGGGGACCCCAGGCATCTTTTGGTGGAAGTTCTATTGTGCAGTTACCGCCGGTAACGGCTCTGTCCATGACAACGACTGGTGCCTTCGTGACTTCGCGTGCGAGGTCTCGCCAGGCGGTGATCGTGTTAGCGGCCCCGGTTGTGATCGAGATGACGACGACGACGACGATGTTGGTGATGGTGATGATGACATTTTGAGCTCTGTAATAGAATTGAAGGCGGATGACTGTCGTGGAGTTTCCCTCACTTGTATGATGATGATGATCCTGATAATATTACCAATGCTAATGAGAATGCCATGCAGAACATAATGATGATAATCATCACCAAGTGATTCAGATCACTCTGATGAAGGTGATGGCCACGGAATTTAGCAACTCTGATAATGATGATTACAATGATGATGAAGTGTATGAGATCGGTGATGATGAGGATGACGATTCAACCTCGAACTTTGGCCAATATTTCATATCGGAGGTGGGATGTCTAAAGCGAGCGTGGAATTCTTCTCAAAATCCGCATGCGCTCTTTTTCACCACCCCGCGACGCAGCAGCCGCCTCCATCGCCACGGCCCCTTCGCTGCAGCAACAGCTGCTGGTGGTGACTAGAGGCCGTAATCATCAGCGGTGACAAATGCCCGCCTCTGCGCCGCTAATTGCTTTATTTAACGGAGCGGATCAACGTTAATTGAGTTTGATCGCGGCTACACTCCGAGCCCCGGAAAGGTCAAACGAGATCGTGGGAGGGCGCGCTCACGAGTCGTCGGGACTCGAGCACGGCTCTCGCGAAGGGGGGAGGGGGGGGCGGGGGGTCTCGCACTGCACTCTGCGTCAGTGGGCCAAGATCGCACGTCTCACTTGTCGGCACATCCTGCTACGGATTCATGTTGTGTTTACTCGCCGCGTTCGTGCCGGAGAAAAATATTTGTGCCAAGTTCCCTGCTTGCATGCGGTTATACAATGACCCATCATCGTCTGTGAAGAAGCGAGAGAGAGAGCCATTGGTTGGAGTGATCTCCACGAGAGTCTGGCGAAAAAAGGGGAAGAGAGGACCTCAGAGCACGTGCTGGTTACTGTGAGGGCAGATCTGGACCTGGCAGAGGGAAGGAAGCGTTGCCAATGAAGTGCGCATGGCCGCATTCATTTCGGGATGATAATACACGCCTGTCCCCCCCCCCCCCTGTGCTGCATGTATTAAAGCATTGTGGCGTTCGGCGTATAATACCGGTAGCTGTATGCGCGTGTGTCTGGGACACTTGCCCCAAACGTCTGTAGCACCTGTAGGGGGATCTTTGTCTTTGTGTGTGTGAGTGGGGGAGCGGTAGCGTGGCGGTTGGAACGCTGCGTTCACGGCCAATACCGGTGACGATTATTTGAAGCGGTCCCGGGCCTTCCCTAGGTCAACCCAGCCTCAACTGAATAGTTGGTGCGATTTGTAAGACATCGCTACGAGGGAGACAAAGGCGGCCGGGCGTGATGCTGGCCACCCACCCCCCCGTGTGCCGTTCCGGCCTTCATGGGTGCTGCTCGCTTTCAGAGGTGACACTGGGAATCTTTGTCTCTGACCAGATTTGTACAACTTTCTTGACAGAGTTCCACAAGTGAGCGGTGCGTATTACTCTCCGGAGCGTCTCATGATCCAGAGAATCACGGTATGTGTCGTGTGCGTGTATGTATAAGTATACCGTGCTGGATAACGATCTACGTAATGTTTGGCACGGGGGTTGTCGCGAGAGGTGGTGGCTCAGACTGAGAGGTGAGAAATCTCGCTCGTCGGGATCCTCGGCGCCGCGATGGGTCCAGGTAGGCGATGTCGCAGCGCACGCGTCGCGAGTGAAAGAGACAGAGAGACATACAGAGAGACAGACAGAAAAACAGACAGAGAGACAGACAGAGAGACAGACATAGAGACAGAGAGACAGACATAGAGACAGAGAGACAGACAGAAAGACAGAGAGAGAGCCAGAGATACAGACATAGAGACAGAGAGACAGACAGAAAGACAGAGAGAGAGCCAGAGAGACAGACAGACAGAGACAGAGAGAGTGACAGAGAGACAGACAGAGAGAGATGTGTTGCTGCGTTATCCTTGAGACGAAAATCACAACCCGCTTCTTCCCTCTCCACTCGCGGTGCTTTTACGCAAAGACTCGCCCCCCCCCACCCCCCCATAGCCTTGACTCGCTGTTGGGGCAAGCGCTGTTATCGAGCGCCTGTTGCGATCGCCACGTTGCACGACGCAAGACTGGTGTGGTCAAAACCACGCCTGGCCGCCTTTGTCTCCCCACTTACAATGTTTCACACGATGCATTTAAGGCTGGATTTAAAAAGAAGAAAACCCCACCCACCCCCGACTGCCCGAATATCGCGAGACGCCGCCCGCCACCTGCGACGGGAAACACAAATCCTGAGCGTTCGAGACAACCCGGGCCGGGAGGCGAATTATCCTTCAATCCATCTGTGCGATGCTTTGAGTGCCACGCTCTCGTTTCCGTGGGAGGGGTTCTCCATCCACGTACTCTGGAATTCCACTTCATTACTAACGCTCATTCATGGTGATCGGCCAAACACCTCCCCGATGCAGAACCACTCCTGACAAAAAAAACGTCATCATCGTAGCTTATTATTATTATTGTTGCTGTTGTTGTTACTATAATTGCACGTGGCAGTAATTCTGGATGACGGCTCAGCTGTTCGTGTCCTTGTACTGAGTAGGGGAGGGGAGGCAGAGCGAGGAGGTTGGTGGTGAAGAGGTTGAGCTTCCACCACCACCTCCACCACCTCCTCATGTCCCCCCTCCCCTCCCGTCCTCCCCCCACCACAACCCCAGCACCGCAGTGCATCACCTGACGCAACGGCACGTTCACGAGGGCTCGTCGATGACTGAGAGCTTTTCTGAAAGCGTTGCCCTCGCACTATCGAATGCGTGCAACTTGCGCGCCCCGTCGACTCTGAACGACGAGGACGACGACGCGCGGCTCGCGTGTTCGTTCGCACAAAGGGACAACTCGTGCGAGAGTCGTGGTGCGCGTGGTGTGCGTGGTGCGTGTGTTTGAGTGTGGGGAGCGGTGGGGAGCGGTGGGGAGCGGTGGGGGGCGTGTGGGGAGCGGTGGTGTAGCAGCGGTGTAGCGCGCAGGGCTACGAACACGGAGCCCTCGAGTTCGAGACCCGCTCCTCACGGCCAACACCGGTGACGATTATTTGAACCCGGTCCTGGGCCTCTCCCCTAGGTCGACTCAGCCTCAAATGAGTAGCTGGTGCCGTGTGTAAACATCGCCACTGGGGAGACAAAGGCGGCCGGGCGTGGTGCTGGCCACCCACCCCCTCGTGTGCCGTGCCGGCATTCATAGGTGCTACTCGCTAACAGCACTTGCCTCAATATTCTGTTACAGGCTATACGGGGGATCTTTGTCTGTTGCACGTATGTGTCGGGTGTGGGTACGTACACGTGTGCGTATTTGTGGTCAGTGTGCGTGGTGAGTGCGCGTGTGTATGTGTGTATGTGTGTACGTGTGTATTGCATTCTCACTCACAACCACTATCGGTGACGAATATCTGGGGCCTCCCCTTAGAGCGACTCAGGCTTAAATCAGTAGCTTGCGCAGTGGTGTTAGCCACATCACCCCCTCGTAACAGCACTTGCCCCTACAGTCTGTTCACGACTATACGGGAATCTTTGTTGTGGCTTGTGCGTCACGTGCACGCATCGTGACGTGCACGCATTGTGACGTGCACGCATTGTGACGTGTACGCATTGTGACGTGCACGCATTGTGACGTGTACGCATAGTCACGTGCACGCATTGTGACGTGCACGCATTGTGACGTGCACGCATCGTGACGTGTACACATCGTGACGTGTACGCATTGTGACGTGTACACGTGCGCATCGAGCGGTGAAAATGAACGTTTCGCGACGTAAACCAAGCACAGAACGCAACACGAGGCGCACAGCTCCTCATGGCGTTGTTATACGCATCGCGCCAATGTACTGATTTAAGGCTGAGCCGATCTGAACGAGGCCCAGAACCGGTTCAGATATTCGCCACCGATATTCGCTGTGAGTGGGAACGCAATTCTGCCCCACCATTCCCTCCGATGATGGCACGTACACACAGACCACTTTAATTATTTTCGTTTTGCTGTGATTCCCAATTTCACAGTTGTATCGTAAAATTCGTATTAGTATTGTAATTACTTGGATTTGCAATGCAAATTTGCACCAAATTGCTCGCATCCCAATGTCAATGGACCCGCTTAAAGCCAGACGAGGTGAGAGAAGGCCTCCCGCGTGGGATGTCGACGAGCAGCCGCGATGGGGCATCGAGGCCACCGTGTCTCGAGATGAGATTTGGGTGAGAGTCGCGGCTCCTCCGGAATATGGAGAGCGGAGCTTCCGACAAGTGGGACGGATCTCTTCCGTTGAGATGACGGACGCTTGTGTTGCGCCCGAAACGTCGTAATTTATTTTATTTACTACCCACGTGACTTTACCGAAAGAACCAAAAAGCATGGATTCCTGCAGTCACGAAAGCTTCAAATCAAGATTTAATGCGGCGGAAGAGTTCGTCGGAAGGCTCGTGATCACGGTGAGTTGGTCGTGGGTCGTGGGGATGCGGAGTCTCTGAAGGATCGTGAACGCGACGGAAAAGCAGGCGTGGGATGGCACGAGATGGGAATGAGACGAGGAGTCGTAAGAAGAAGGTGAGAGATTCCGACGAGACGTGGAATCAGAAAGAATGAGACGAGAACGGATGAGTTAACGGGGACGGCATAGCATGCGACGGAATAAAATATGTTATTATAAAGGGGTGCGATGGGATGCCGAGGAGGGAAGAGATGGAATGCGATGGGATGGGATGGAAAGGGGAGCGATAACATTTGGATTTGATGGGATGAGAAGTGATGCAGCTGGACGGGGTGGAGTTGGCGTAGGATGTGAATTGTCCAGCTGTGATGGGGCGCACTCGTCCCGCAGTGGAAAAGTTCTGCCCATTAATATTGCAGAAGCCGTCAGCACTGCGCGCGGAGCGAGCGGGCGAGAGGGCGAGCGATTGGTCGAGGCGTCATACCGGCGGAGATGCCCTTAATGCTGCCTCCCCCAACCCATATATAATCGATAGGCGCAATCCAGCCTGCGCTAACGGCGCTAATGTAATGTTTTAAATCATTTCCCATTCGCCAAGCACAAAACTTGCATCCAGATGGGCTCGTGTGCTAAATGGACTCTTCCATCGCACGATCGTGGGAGGTGGTCACCGCTTGGGATTGACCTCCCGGCAGTGGGTTGGTCACGGCTAATGATGCTGCTGCTAATGATGATAATGATGATGATTTTACAGCCATTTTCAATTCACCACTGGATGAATGCCTTTTCTGTATATTTCGGTCATGGGGGGGGGAGGGGTTGCTCGGCCATGCGTCACCATACTGATCAGTGCGGGTTTGTCAAGTGGGGAGGGGGGGTGTGGTGAGTTCAATGCTGCTGGTAAAACGTCTTAGATGCGATTGCATTTGTGACGCTATGGATATTCATATTATTGTTTCGGTAAAGTCACGTCGGTAAAGAAAATAAAAAATAAAATAAAAAATAAAAGAAAAAAATAAATACAATTAAATCACGACGTTTCGATTGCAACACAAGCAATCGTCATCAGGTGTGAACACCATAGTAAGAAAATTTATACTAAAGTAATTTTTTAAAATCTTTGATTTAATATTTTATTTAATATTTTATTTACCTACGTGACTTTACCGAAAGAACCAAGAGTATGGATCCTTGCAGTCACGAAAACTTCAAATCTAGAACATATTGTTGTTGTTGTCGTTGTTGCCGTCTATAAACAATTCACCAAGAATATTACCCACGACCAGATTGACGTCTTGACATCATCTCGCCGCATTGCTTTGTGCTCGCCACAATACCTTCACGATCTGGTCAAGGAGCATCCACGATCACGCGAACTCCGATTATACTCGCAGCGGCTTTTGGCTGCTGGCCATCGAACAAAGACGGCCACCGCTTTCAGATGCGCTCCTGCGGCCGTCTGGAACGCTCCTTCCATCCGATGTTGGGACGCCACTGGAGCTATGCACGATCAAATCATGTGGATTGAAAACCAGGTGTCTTTAGACACGCGCTTTGCGCTTAGCTCGTCGTCCGCCCTCGCACATCCGATGAGCGCGGTTGGCTGCGTACGGTGCGAAAGAAGTCCATCGCACATGAACCGCGCCTGGGCGTTGCAACGCGGTCCGGTGCAACGCGTTGCTTGCCGTCGCCGGGGAGAAGGTTTTTTGTTGTTATTTTCGTCGCCGGACATGAGATGGTGATGAAAGGAAGCGTTTGCCAATCGCGTGAACAGCTGGTGTCTGCGATTTTGCAGGCATCTATCGGCGGCAGTGGAGGAGAAACACTCCCACCATTGTGTCGGTATGGATTCTATGAATCATTGAACACATTTGAAGAAAACTGCCGTTAATGCCAAGGTCAACAGCTGCAATTATCCTGCACTTTGTGTTTAATTGTCCTTCCGAGCAACAGATCAATGATTATTCTCCAATGATTGCAAGAAACGAAGTTGCATGAATAAATGCACAAGTGTGTATGCAGTAAATGTGTTTATTGATGCAGTATATATACTGTAGATTTATAT